AAATAAATCTTTAAAATTCAAGAGCTGACAAAATGCTATTTAATGTAAGCAAAATTACTGTATTAAACATAATTATATATTTGATTTGAGAGCTGCTTTTAGAGTTGTCCCTGTGATATTGTAAAGAAATCATACTGACTGTAGGTTTTTTTAAAGTGCATTTTATAGTTTGAAATAGCTGAAAGTAAGATGTTAAGAGAATATATAAATGCTAAAGAAAATTTATTTTCTGCACATTATTGTGTATTGAGTGCCCCTTTTTTCTTAACTAGGAATCATGATTAATGGGTCTGTAAGTGGTTTTTTTTTCCTTCAAGAGATGTAATCAGGTTTATTTAATACAGGTTAGTGAACTACAGCTTTGATATGGGTATATAGGGATAGGGTTATAAAAAATATTTTAATCTCCCTGGTTAAGTCTCAGCATTATGAAGCTGTTGGCGGCTATTGCAGCACGAGTTCATCCACAGCTAGGGAACTAACCCACATGGCGCAGCAGACCTCTCCTGCTTCACCTGCTGCTCCCCTGAGTAGTCTGTTTCAATAGATCTGCTTGTTCTGCTTCCCATTCTGTCCCTGGTGAATCCTTCCAGTCCTTTTGTCCAACCACCCCCTCCCATCTCTGGCCTACACCCCAGCTCTTGTATGTGTAAATAAGTAAAATAAATCTAAAAAAAGAAAGAAAGAAAAAGATTTTGGAGAAAGGAATTGACAGTTAAGGGTGTTTTCTTTATGGAAAGCATCTAAAAGAGGATGTTGCTTAGAAGTTTTGGGTTCAACCCTAGAAAGAATTTAAACCTGATACGACTATATAATTCTTACCAGGGCATTTTTCTTCTCCCTCTACCCTCTGCCTTTCTCCTTTCTATATGATTGAGTTATATCTGGGTCCTGGTAATAAAGAAAAGAATCTCTCCATGGGGTAAAGATGAATAATGAGCTGACCTAGAGAAAGATGAAATACAGAAGCAACTACAAAAGCTTTAAGCTGTTTTGTATTGCAGACCTACTAGGGAGAGAAGTAATGTGGAAAGATCATAGTTACAGGAATAATAGAATGAAGAGTAATATTGGAGGAATAGTTGCTTTTATTGTGTACCTGCCCTGCATGTTAAATAGTATTATTTCCATTATAGATAAGAGATATTCAGAGGTATAGTTAATCTAAAGCTTTGTTGTATTTTTGAGCATTTTTAAAGTTAGAGTTCTATCTCCCCTTTCCTTGAAATATTTCATGGAACGTGTTATACACTATAGATAAAACCTAAATTGGTTGAAATTGAGACAACAGTATATGAACTTAACTCATATTTTGACCTTTCTTTGGTCTTTTTTCATATTTTCATCCTAAAAGGCTCTGATACCTGTATAGAATCTTACTTTGATTGAAGGCATTGTTTTCACTGTACTGCTGTTTTTCATTGTTTGGTTGGTGAAAATGGTTGAAAGTAGCCCAGAAAAATATGCTGATATTTTCTGTTTGACAATTTAATAGTCTGGCAGCACTTTTCATGAAAAGGTTTATTATGTTTATATACATTATATTTCTTTGACTTATTTATTGTTATAACTGGAAGTTTAAAGTGGAACCATTAACCCATTTTGCCCATATCCTTATCTCCATCACCTCTGATAATCATCAGTCTCTTAAGAGCTCAGTATTTTTTCTTTAAAGAATATACATATAAGCAAGGTTATAAGGTGTTTGTTTTTCTTAGACTTATCTCAGTTAATATAATGTCCTCAAGGTCCAAGGTCCAATCATATCATCACAAATGCCACAGTTCCCTTTTTTAGTGGTCAAGTAATATTCCACCAACCACATACAGGTGCGTGCATGTTCTTCAATTATTTGTTGGTGGACACTTAGGTTGTTTCTGTCTTGGTTATTGCAAATAATGCTGCAGTAAACATGGAAATGCAGGTACCTTTTCAGATAGTCTTTTGTTTTCTTCAGATAAATACCCAAAAGTAGAATTGTTGCATCATATGGTAGTTCATGTTAATATTTTGAGAAACCTCCATACTGTTTTTCATATTGACTGCACGAATTTACACTTCAGGTTCTCTTTTCTTCGTATTTTCACCATTTGTGTGTTTTTTTTAAAAAAAGATTTATTTATTTATTCATACAGAACTGGGGTACAGGCCAGAGATGCGGAGGGTGAGAAGATTCACCAGGAACAGAGTGGGGAGCAGAACAGGCAGATGGATGAAGCACACTGCTGAGGGGAGCAGCGGGCGGGTCAGGAGAGGTCTGCCTCACCATGTGGATCTCCTCCGGGGCAGGCGGGGATAGAACTCATGCATGATGAATTGGCTTAAGCTTCTTAGTACAGCGCTTTAACCCGCTGCGCCACCAGGAAAGGCCCATTTGTGTTTCTTTTTTTTTTTAAAAAAAGATTTGTTTTTATTTATTCATGCTTACAAGACCTGTGGTGTAGGCCAGAGGTGCGAGGAGTGAGAGAACTCAACAGGGACAGGTGGGGAGAACAGGTGAATCTACTGAAACACATTGCTAAGCAGAGCACTGGGTGAGACAGGAGAGGTCTGCTGCACTGTGTGGGTTAGATCCCTGGCTGGGGAGCTAACTCATGCTTCAGTGGCTGGTGATAGCTTGACAGTGCCAGACCTTCATCCTTGCATCCCCAGGGAGGCCTCACATCTGTTGTCCTTTTGATAATAGGAGCTATTTAATAAGAATAAGGTGATAACCTTATTGTGGTTTTAATTTGCATGTCTGATTTAATGTTAAACATCTTTTCATGTCTATGGCCATCTGTATGTTGTCTTTGAAAAAATGTTTTCTCAGCTCTTCTGACCATACTTTTAATTGATTTTTTTTTGGTTATTGAATTATATGACTTATTTTAATATGTTTTTGAATATTATTTCTTAATAAGATAAATGATTTGCAGATATCTCCTATTTTTTTCTTTGTTCTTTTGCTATGATGATAATTCATTTTTTAAAGTTAATTTTCTTTTCCTTGAAGGTTGTTGCAGTTTTGCCTGAAGATATGAGGCCAGGTCCTAATCCCTATGGTTTTCCATGGGAATTGGTGATATGTACAACTTTTTTTGGATTGTTTGCTGTTTTCCTGTTTTTATGGAGAAGTTTTCGATCAGTAAGTAACCCATACCATACTCTAAGAGAAAATGCTTTCAATTTGAACAAGTAATGTGAGAAAAATATCTTTTATTTTAAAGAAATAGTAGGTTATAGTTAGATGGGTAGCCCATGTTAATATGTACCCAGGAGAAAGCAAAAATGGATTTAGAGTTTTTCTTAAGCATAAAATTATTTTGTTATTATTTTCTATTTCTTTTTTTGTCTGAAATTTTAAAATTTAATGTAATAGTTTATTTTTACATCATTTTGTGCCTTTTTCTATGTCAGTTGTAATCCCCATGGGCTTCCCATCACCAAATCACCTGTGTGCCATCACCATAGTCCAGTGCACTTCCCCTTTTCCCCCATTCTTGATCCTATTCCCCACTCCACCCCTGTAAAATGTCTTTGATATAGTTGTTCATCATCATCATCATCATCATCATCATTTTTATTTTTACCTTGATCCTTTAAAGCATAAAAATTTTAAAGAATTTCTTGTTAGAAATATTCTGTGCTAATACTAAAGCCGTACTTTTGTTTTTTATTTAGTGTTGGGTCTGTATTTCTTTTTAACAGTATACTAACAATCTGTGAATATACCATCCAACCTGGAATTAAAAATGTTGACTATCATTTATATTTAGGACATCCTTCCTCATTTTTATCCCTCTGTCTCTCTGTACTGAAGGTAGCCTTTTGGATCCCATGTTGATTATTTCATGAGTTAAAAGTTTTTTCATTATACCTACATATATCCTTTAAAATTGTATATAATATTACCTGATGTCATTCATGTGTTATATTTTGAATATGTGGATGAGGCTGTAAGTTTTTCCATTTTTTTTTCTCTAGAATATTACACTATATTTGGATTGTATATTTGGATTGTTTTTCTGTTACAAATAGTGCTGCTGTGTATATTTTACATGCCTGCTGTATTTAAGTATTTCTTGGGAATTACTGGTAGAGCAATAATTGGGACACAGGGTATGTGAAAGTCCTACCTTTTATATATTATGACTATTGGTTATAATGTGAGGGTTTTTGGATTAGTTTCTCCTAGTTTAATTTATTAATTTTTTTTTGTTTCTTTAAGTTCTTTCTACATTGATAAGTCTTCTTAAGATTTCTAGTATATTCTCACTTCCCTTGGTCTTTTTCACTTTTAATCCTATCATGTTGGTATAATCTAGAATTTTAGAACTATTTTTCTTTTTTAAAAGATTTATTTATACATTCTTTTTATAAGATTTATTATGCATAAGAACTGGGGTAGAGGCCAGACGTGTGGGGGGTGTGTGCCTGAGAGAGAGAGAGGATTCACCACTGACAGTGGAACCAAATAGGCAGATTGACAGAAATGCACTGCTGAGCAGAGCTGCTGGTGAGACAGGAGAGGCCTAATATATCAGGTAGGTCAGCTCCCTGGCTGAGAATCAGACTTGTGCTGGCAGTTTATGGATAGCTCCATAGTGCTGATACTTAACCCCTTGTACCACCAGGGAGAGCCCTCATCTTTTTTCTTAATTTTCTTCTCCACCTTTCAGGATCACAATAAAGGTTACCAAAGTATTTGATCACTCTTAATGATTTCTCTTGCAAGGTCTCCTGAGTCTAATTCTTCCCATTTTTTAATAAGATTGTTTTTAGTGTTGGGGTTTGTGTGGCAAATCTTCTGAGACTTTATTTTGAATACTTGATAATAGTTGAAATAAACCCTCATATTGGAATGATAATTTGTTTGAAATAAGCAGTATAGATTGAAGGTTATATCCTTTTAATACTTTAAACTGATAGTTCCCAGTCCTTTTGGTAATATTACTTATGAAAAGTGTCTAATGTCAATGTGATTCTTAATCATTATTAGGGATCTATTCTTTATGGTAGCTTTTAGAACCTTTGATATTCTTATTTCAGTATAATGTGTCTATATTTGAGTTTCCTTTTTCCTTTTTCTTCTTTTACACTTTTCTGGAATCTTTTTAAGTAATAATGATTTATAACCTTTTAGGTTTTAGGTGTATAGGCCTTTAAGTCAACATCTATACACACTACCTATGTTTGCCACCAGAATTCTAGTTTCCATCCATCAGCATACAATTAAACTCCTTTTATTTGATTTGTCTGCTTCATTTTCCTCCTTCCCTTCTGCTAGCCACTATTTTGTTCTTATAGATTGAAAGTTTATTTTTATTTTATTATTATTATTTTTTAAGATTTATTTATACTTACAGAACTGAGGTATAAGCCAGTGGTGCAGGGGCAGTGAGAGGATTCTAGAGACAGAGTGGGGAGCAGAACAGGAAGATTGATGAAGTACACTGCTGAGGGGAGCAGCAGGCCAGACAGGAGAGGTCTGCAGTTCCATGTAGGTCACCCCCCTGGCTGGGCATTGAATTGTGCTAAAGCTGCTGCAGACAGTGCAGCACTTTATCCTGTTGCACTACAAGGGAGGACCCTATTTTTTCTTTCACTTCTTTCTTTATGTACTTAATGTGGTGAATCATATGAGGTTCATCTTTCTTGATCAGACTTCAGTAAGCATAATACTCTCTGGATCCTTTCATGTTGTTTCAGGATTTCTTTTTTTTTTTTAAATTACACCTCATTTTATCTGTAGATGGACACTTTGGTTGTTTTCAACTCTTGGTGTTGTGAAAATTTTGTGACCATAGGGTGCCTATATCTCTTAAAGTTAGTGTGTTTGTATTCTTTGTACACAAAGAATTGCTGGATTTTATGGTATTTCATTTTTTAAGTTTTTGAACAATCTCTATACTATTTTCTATAATGACTGCACATTTTATATTACCACAAACACTGTATGAGGGTTTGGACTTTTTATATTAAATCTTATCTTTTTTTTTAATTCTGGGAAATTTATTCTGCATTTTGAATTTTTTTCTTTTGATGACTGTTTTTTAGATGTTGGCCTTTCCACTTAGGTTATCATAGCTGTTAATTTTTTTAATGATTTCCCATTATCTTTTGAGATAGCACCATGATCTGACCTTTTAGTTCACTAACATATTCCTCATCTGTACCCATTGTACTATTTCTTGGCTTTTAAATTTTGTCTCTGAATTTTAGTTTTATTCCTATAGATCTTTTATTTAAATTCCTGTCTTTTTTTGCTCACTTACCTTACCATTGTGCCTGATGCCCTTGTAAATGGATTTTTTTCCTTCATTATTTTAAGAAGTAAAGGTTTTGTTTGTTGTTTCTTTATGTCGGTTCAGATCTGTGACCCTATGGTAATTGTCCTTGGACTGTGGTATTTTGGGGAGATGATAATAAAGACTTCCTGAAATAGTTTGCTTGAGAGTCATTATCTTTAAAGAGCAACAGGGAAAATGAAATTAAACAAATATTTTTTAAAAATACATTTATTTATGCATCGAAGAATTTGGGTACAGGCCAGAGGTGCAGGGGGGTAGGCTGGTTAGTGTGTAAGAGGATTCACCAGAGATAGAGTGGGGAGCAGAACAGGCAGATCTACTGAAATACACCTCTGAGGCGAGTCTGCTGAGTCATATGGTCACCTCCCTGGCCAGAAGTCAAACTCATGCTGCAGTGTTTTCCGATGTCTTCACAGTGCTGTACTTTAACCCCATGTGCCACCAGGGAGGCCCCTAAACAAGTACTTTTATAGAAGATTTTTCTCAGCTTTTAATAAACTTTAATAATGCCCAATACGAATCTCTAATAGGGACATTTTCATATGCAACATTTTTTTTTTATTGGAAATAGAACATATTTGGCTAACATTCATACTAAGGCAGTAAGGAATCCATTGTTATTAAGATAGCAATAGAAGTTAAATAAATTAGATATACTTGTATGTATATTTGTTTTAATATAATTTCTATTTTTGTTACAGGTTAGAAGCCGATTTTATATGGGTAAGTTATTTATTTTAGATTCCTTTGTTGCTTATAATTTTAAAACTTAAAACAATTTGCACATGATAATACTAGCTTCTTTATAGGAAGAGAGAAAAAGCTTGCGAAAGAACTTTCTACACTAATTGAAGAAAAATGTAAGCTACTTGAAAAATTGAGCCTTGTCCAAAAAGAGGTAAGAGAAATTTGAGAATGTTAACTATCATGTTAGAATTAGAATCAGCTCATCAATTTACACATTCATGCATGCACATATTGTGCTAGGAATTTAGTTGGGATTGCTTTAGATTTGTAAATCAATTTGAAGAGAAGTGACTTTTTTTTTTTTTTTTAAGATTTATGTATTTATTCTTAAACTGGGGTACAGGCCAGAGGTGTGGTAGGTGAGAGAAATCACCAAAGACAGAGTGGGGAGCAGAACAGGCAGATGTACTGAAACACACTGCTGAGGGGAGCAGCGGACAGGTCAGGAGAGGTCTGCTGCACCAGGAGGGTCAGCTACCTGGCTGGGGAATGAACTCATGCTGTAGTGGCTTCTGAGAGCTTTATAGTGCAGAGATTTAACTGGTTGCACCACAGGGAGAGCCCCGAAGTGGCATTTTTACAGTATCAAGTTCTTATCCACTGACTATGGTCTTTTAAAATTTCTGTCATTACTGTGAATTTTTTTATGCTGAGGTTTTACATGGCTTTTCTTAGTTTTATTCCTTTGAGTTTGGTGATTTTGAAACTATTGTAAATAGTTTTTCTTTTACAGTTTTGCTGAGATATAATTCATATACATTTAATTATACAGATGAATCTTTAAGCGTAGTCACAGAATTGTGTATATTGCACCACAAATCTCAAACATTTTCATTATCCTAATAAAACCCTTGTGCCTTTTATCTATCACCCTGCACTCAATCTGCCCCACTCCCTAGTGCTAGACAATTTACCTATGCTCTGTTTCTATGTGTATGACTATTCTGGATCCCATTTCACATAAATGTAATCATACCACAGTGTCCTTTATGGTTGGTCTTTTTTCACATAATGTAATCAAGGTTCATCTATGTTCAGTGTATATTTTCTTTGTTTGGATAAATCACATAAATGGGATCACATTTTCTTAAATGAAATCATTCTTTTCATTCAGCAGGTTCTAAGCTCCAAATTTTGTCTTCTCCCAGCTCCCAATTATCCTACCATCTTTGCTTATTATTATTAGTTTCTCAGCCGATTATCAAATGCTGAACTTGAAATTTTAAGTATTTCCTTTTCTGTCAAGTTTTTACTATATTGATAACTCTGAGACCTTTATGCATATTCTGTTCTTGGTACTTTTGTCCAGCTCTTCTCTTGTTGTTAATGAGAAACTTGATCAATATAGCTTACTTAATCCATAGTTAATCAGTTTTTTTAACTATGAAGCAAGTATGTTTTGCCAAATCTTGCATCATTGTCTTTTGAAGATTTTTTTTTTAATCCCTCGTTAACTTTGTTGAATGATATGAATTAGAAGTATAAGTTCTGGTAAATCAGTATACATTTCTTTACAATAACTAGGCATACTGTGTACAGACCCTTTAGTTTTTTTTTTATTTTATAACAGTTTATTTTTACATCATTTTGTACATTTTTTTTTTCCATCTCAATTGTAATCCCCGCGGGTTTCCCATCACCAGACCGTTTAGTTTTAAGGGTGACGTTCTGTTATTTGTTGCACAAGATGCATATTGTGATAAGTTAGTTGCCCGCACTTTGGTAGAGTTACCATCATATATTTGAAAAACTTAAAGCTAAGTAAATTTAACATCCATACGGAAGTAGATTGTATCTACTAAAGAAATAGAATAGTTACAAGAGATAGAACATTATGTTGACTTTTTTTTAAGATTTATTTTATTTATTTATGTATACAAGAGCTAGGTATAGGCCAGACGTGAGGGGGGTGAGAGGATTCACCATAAACAGAGTGGGGAACAGAATAGGCAGATTGACTGAAATACACACTGAGGGGAGCAGCGGCTGAGATAGGAGAGGTCTGCTGGTGGTGAATCAAACTCCTGCTGCAGTGACTGCTGATAGCTTCATAGTGCTGTGACTTTTTAACTCCTTGCACCACCAGGAAGGCCCTATGTAGAATTTTTATTAGTGTTGTTTTCTTTTCAGTATGAAGGGTTAGAGTCATCTGTAAAGGATGCTGGCTTTGAGAAAGAATCAACAGAAGCCCAAAACTTGGAGGTAAAAACATGAGTATAAATATCACATATGGGGAAAAGATTCTTACTAGGTAACATGATCATTGAAAGTAATGTATCTTTTCACAACCATTTCAAAGGAAGTCTGAAAAATGTGCCTACATGTTAAAATTTAAAGAAAAAATATAGGGAATTAGCCTTAGTGTATAGCATAAACTATTTTAAAATTTTGAGCTCTAGTTGCTAATTTATTTTGATGAGGCATATCAGTTCACTAGAATGTAGGGCCACATAAAAGTTTTTATTTGTGGGAACTACATTAGGTGACTGTTTCTTTGTATCACTCTGTTTACTCTGGAAAGGAAAATAGGATTCACTTTCATTGATTGAGGAATTAGTTAGCAAAGATAATTATGTACATATGGCCTTTATTTCATCTCCAGTATGTTAGGAACTAACTAGAATTAGACCAGAGATGTATATTGTAAACAGTGATGTGCTGATAAATGTTCTTTAACTAGTGGCTCTCTGAAAAGCAGGAGTTCTTGCTCACTTCTGTTGTATATATACTCCCACTGTGACCAATTTCAAGGTACCAACATATTACTGAATGTGGAATTTTTTTTTTTAAGATTTATTTATTTATCCATACAGAACTGGGGTACAGGCCAGAGATGCGGAGGGTGAGAGGGTTCACCAGAGACAGAGTGGGGAGCAGAACAGGCAGATCGAGGAAGTACACTGCTGAAGGGAACAGTGGGCCGGGTCAGGAGACAGACACACCCTGTGGATCACCTCTGGGGGAGGGGGGATCGAACTCATGTGGAAGTGACTTAAGCTTCTTGGTGCTGTGCTTTAACCTGCTGCACCACCAGGGAGGGCCCTGAATGTGGAATTTAGAAGAGATATATACATAGCTGACTTTTCCAAAACTGGTTTTATCTGGTTAGTAATAATGAAGGAATATGTGATAATTTTTCATTTAGGTAAGCTGTAACAGATTCGGATAAGTAATGAAAATGCCTTACTACTGTTAGATATTCAAATATTGTAAAAAGCATAATGGTGACTGGAGAGGCAACTGTTTCTGCCTAACATTAAAATAGGAAAGAGTGGACCTTGTACTGTTGGCATAAGGTTGGCAATTCTCAGTCACTGCGTGTGATCATTAGAACCTCTGTCATGATTCAGGATTTCCAAGGAAAGTACAAAGGAAGTTAGAGCTTGAATTCCAAGTGAAAGGCATTTCTTGAAACTATTTTCTTTTCCTTCATTAAAATTGTATTTTATTTGATCCCGTTTTAACTACTGTTCCCATAAAAATTTATTAGTTTTATTAAAAGAAAAGACTTTAGAAGACATTAGGCATGCTAATGAAAGATCAAAACTGGAGAGCAAAGATATTTACTCAAGCTTGGTGGTATTGTGGGTAAAATAAAGCACCAATTTATCCTTAAAGAATAGAATTTATATAACTAGCAGTAAAACTAGCTGAATTGTTACTTTACATGAATATTTTAGATTTTTTCTCTAGTTTTAGTAATTTATAAAAATATCTATTGTTCTCAAGATTAGTTTCAAATTCTTAAGTATAAATATAATGTGGTATAATTTTTAGAAATTTGGTAATTTAATATAAAGTCAAAATAACAGTAATTTTGAATCAAATGCAATTTGTATATTTAAGTAGTCACATTAGGGGAAATGCAAATAAATGCTTTTAAAATCACATTATAAACAGTGTGTATTTTTTCTGCTTTTATTTTGGTCTTCATTAAATTCTTTGATTCTTTTGGTTTTATTTTTTCAAACAAGTTTGTGGAAGGATCACAAATGTCAGAGGTATGTTTTCATAGCATTAAAAATCCAATTGGGGTCCACTTTAAAATCCAATAACTAATCATCTATAATTAAAAAGGTCACATAAATGTCTTAATTCAGTTAAAATATTATGAAACAATCTTGATTTAGTTTATTTCTTATTTTTATATTAAATTGACATTTTTCTCATTTTTTCCTCTATAATACTTTAGAGCAATGGATGGCAAGTTATACTTGGTGGGTTCACCACCTGTTTTTGTAAATAAAATTTTATTGGAATACAGCCACACTCATTTATTTATTTGTCTTTGCTTTCTCACTATATGGGCATAGATCACTGCATGATCTATAGGCCTAAAACATTTACTCTCTCTACATAGAAAGATTTTCTTAACCTTTGTTAGAATGACTATTGTTTTAATATAAAAATGACAAATGTAAAAAAAATGTTTATTTAAATTACAGTGTCTGTGCTGATTTACCCAACCAAAAATTCTTGTCTGTCTTATAAAGTTGACTTCTTCTTTTAGGCAATCTATGAAAAGTTGAACAGTTCTAAATCTGAACTTGAAGATGAAATTCTTTCATTAGAAAAAGAATTAGAGGGAGAGAAGTTAAAGCATTCTGAAGAAGATGAGCTGGTAAGGTTTTTTATTTGAGGAAACTATAGAAGAAAAGTAACTGGATTTTAAAAAGTGAATAATGTGATAATTATAGAGTTTTACATATGCTATAAAAAGTCCAAAGAATATAGGAGACTGTAGAAAGTATAGACAGTAGAGAGTAAATTTATAGACAGTAAACTTTTCAGATTATTAGCTCCATTACCATGTTAAATTTCTTTCAGATTCTTATGGAAATTTTCTATATGCCTTATGAAAATAGCTCACATAATTTATGTTGAATAATCACATAGTAGATATTTTTTATTTTTCCAAAGGTGTGTTAAGTACATGTTAACTTTCCTTTATCATCCGACTTAAAGATTTTATTTTACTTAAAGTGAGTGAATTTACTTAGTAAGGTATGATGTTAAAGTAGACTTACCTTGTTTTAACCTACATGACTTTGAAGTTATGTAAGACTGAAAAACAGATGAACTACTATTGTAATTTTCATATAAAATCCTTTAAAACAGATAGCTGAGGTCTCTTAATTTGAGTCCTTACTTTTGAAGCAAAAGTGGTAGATTGATAGCAAATCTAATATATATGACATCTTGGAAACTGAAGTTTAGTAAGTACTTGTTTGTTGATTGATGCTGTCTTTCTAGATTGTGGATATTTCTAAAAAGATACAATCCCTAGAAGATGAATCAAAATCCCTTGAATCACAAGTAGCTGAAGTAAGTTGAATTGGTCTATAGATATGTTGCTTTTTAAAATTATTTTTATGGTTGCACTTTAAAAAACAAATCTTTTTAGTATTAATATTTGCATATAAGAACTGGGGTACAGGCCAGAATATGTATTAAAAAGAGCTATTTTATCATACTAAGTTGTTACAAATTTTATACATTATTTTTTACTTAGGCCAAAACAACCCTCAAAATATTTCAAATGAATGAAGAACGACTTAAGACAGCTATAAAAGATGCAATGAATGAAAATTCCCAACTTCAGGAAATACAGAAACAGGTTTGTATTGTAGAGGGATCCTTTAGCTTTTGAGTGTATAATTACAAATGTTCTGGGCACACTTATGACTGACTCAGTCTTGGGGCAAGAGTAGGCTTTTCCCAGAGAGCATGAGAACAGGATAATCTCTTATATGTCTTTGTTCTTTGTTTTGTATAGGATAATGTGTGATTTGAAAAGCTTTAAATCATTGTATAGTCAAAAATGTTTACCTTTTGTATCATATTTAGAAAATCTTCTCTCATATAAAAGTATATACTGTAAAAGAGTGTTTATACAAATTTGATGTGGCCTACATTAATGGTATTTCTGAAGCTTAGTTATTTTAACTAAAAACAGCATATGATTAAAAAATTTTAGCATAAGGAGGATATGGCATATTGTGCATGAAGTATAAGGAATAGTAAGATGATCAAATCTAACATATGTATCAGGCAGCAGTTTATTTGATAAAAGTTTATTAAGTCAGTTGAAAATGTTGAAGAATGTTTGTTTTCATTACCCCTTTTTTGAAAGTTCTTAGAAAATAGGAGCCTACCCTTTCTTTCCACATTCTAACCCTCCCTCTTTTCTCAGCAAAACAATGTGTTGTATAATATCAATTAATGATATACCTAAATATATAAATAAGTACATCTACTCATAAGTGTGATAATGTCATTGCTTTTTTGTGGAATTTGAATTTTAGTTTTTACAAGAAGTTGAAGAATGGAAAGAACAAGTGAGTGAACTTAATAAACAGAAAATAGCATTTGAAGTCTCCAAAGTAGATGTGGAACAAGTTATTTATGATAAAGAAAATCAGATAAAGGTAAATGGCCCTGCTGGTTTTAGTGATATGTCAGCTAGAATTTTATACTATTTCTGAAATTTGAAAATTTTTGCTTTCAGCATTTTTATTTTGATAATTTACTTGGCCAAATTTGAGAATGTGTACTTTTTGGACCTACATTCTAATTTGTGCTTACATCATCATCTCTGATGCCAAATGTTCCATGAGGACTTGTAAATTTGCAGTATATTTATCAAGATTCCATGTGTTCCCTTTTCCTTTCTGTATTTTTAGCTAGATTTCTAATAAAGAGAGAAAAAGAACATTGGATTTACTATTTTACCTATGAAATGCCATCTATATCTGGTGATAAGAGGTTGTAAAAACTTTTAGAAATTGGAAAGATGAAGTTATATGTATGACCTAATATCTTTAATACCTAGATTAGCTATGTATATGTACCTTCAGAAAGGTGGATACTTTTAAAGAAATAAATTAATTAAAGCTACTCTAAAATTAATAAAATAATTGATATTGCTGTTAGGACTTGTTGACTTTTTCTTAATCCCTCTCCCCTCGCCTATCCCTTTTTCTTTTAAATATTAGCTTCAGGCTGCAGATACTCAAATGTGTATCAAGTACTAAGATGAAAAACTAACATTCTGGAATCTATACAGTGAAATGAATGTTGTCATCTTGAAAGTTAAACATTTTTGCTAGTCACTTCTAAGAATATTTTCAAGATTCTAGTTTTAGAAGTCATTTTCAGAAGTTGGCATATTGTTTTCTTCTCCCCACAATTACTTTACTAAAGGACTTGGGATTCTTTCTAAACAGAACAAGAATGAGATGCTAATCTCAAGCTCTACTCAAAGCTGTAGGCCGTGTTATTTGTGCCTGGAACTCTCAAGAGGGAGGAGATCGAAGGGTGGAATTCGTAGAGCAGATGGGTTTTTAGGTGGGTCCTTCCACAGAAATACATGGCACAGTTATTTTATTATCTCTGTTGCTCCCAAATCTTACTTTATTCAAGAAAATTCAAAAAGTGCTGTTGGAAAACTTGTAATGCTCCAATTCAGATTTTTTTGTTAGTTCTTTTTCTTTCTATCAATTGTACTTCCTCAACTAGTTGCTTACTTGAATAAATCAAGTCTGTGAAATAATGATCTTTTCATATATCATGTACTTCATTTGCTGATTTGTTTGACTTGATATGAAATTTACATTCATGTTAATGACCATGCTTATTTGTGGCATGTAAAGAATGTATAAAAAAAGTTTTGTTACTTTATAGTAATATATTATTAGCAAAAATGGGAATTATGAAGTATTATGTTTGATTTAGAAATGACCAGTTTCGTTTTTAAATTACAGAGTTTAATAATCAATAAATGTTACAGTTTTTCAGAGTATTTACGTATCTTAATATCAAGTGAATAATAGGAACTCAGTATACTGTTACCCATGTGCATTGATTTTTAAACTTTATGTTCAAACGTAAAGCTGTTAGCATATTATCTTTTCTTCCTCCCCTTTACTAAATGTCCAGTCCCTTACTGAACGCTTGCTAAAGATGAAAGATTGGGCTACTGTGCTTGGAGAAGACATAACAGATGATGATAACTTAGAATTGGAAATGAACAATGAATCAGAAAGTGGTATGTATTTAGGTATGAAATCATAAATCAGCCTTTTTTGCTGAAAGTGATGACTGGTTCTTATATTTTCTTATAGCTCCCCACATACACCATGTTCTTTGGCACATCTTGTTCATTTGTTCCCACTGCTTGTCCCTTTTTTGTTGTCTTTTATAGTAATGTTGGTTTAGAATACCACCTTTTTAGTAAATTCTGCTTCTCAGACTTCGAGCTTCCTTCTTCTCCATTACTTTTATATATTGACTTTCCTTCTTATGTATTTATATATTTTATATATCTGCATTATAGCAAGCTTCACATTGCATCATAATAATTTCTGTGTCTGGTTTCCTCTTATTAAGCTAATCAAATGGAAAAGTTTGAAAAATGAGTATTATTTAAAGAAATACCCCAGGGTACTTTCTTTTTGCTTTAGTCATCCATAGATGTTTGAGATGTAAGTTTACTCTAGCTTAGTGTTGGCCATTCCGAATTGTTATTGCCCTTGCTCATTGCAGTTTAGAAACTGTAGCAAAAGTTAGACTCACTATAGTCACTTACTGTATTCTCAAACCAAAAAAAAAAAAGCATTTTATTTTGACATACTCATAGAAAGTGACAAAAGGAGAACAGAGATTTCCTGCAGCATCCATACAGTTTCTCACACGGGTAGTTATTCTGACATAATCCCTTATTCTTTTCTCTCTGCATCTCATGCTTAATGAACATATTCATTAAGGAGGAGGAGAAGGTGTGGTTTAAAAACATTTTTTTGGCCTTCCCTGGTGGTGCGACAGGTTAGCACGCAGCATTGCAAGCTGGCCACAGCCACTTCAGTGTGTTTGATACCTGGCCCCCGAGGTAGTCCACATGGCAGACCTCTCTTGACCCTCCTGCTGCTCGCCTCAGCAGTGTACTTTGTCAATCTGCCTGTTCTGCACCCCACTCTGTCTCTGATGAACCCTCTCACTACCCCTGCACCTCTGGCCTGCACCCCAGTTCTGTATGCATAAATCTTAATTTTTTTTTTTAACCACAACATTAGTATGTTGGAAGAAAATTACATTTGTGAGGTATACACTTCTAGATTTGTTTCTGTTTTTTTTTTTTTTTCACTTCTAAGAGTGTTTTTTTTTCCCTAATGAGAAAACTCATGTTCACTTAATGTTATTTTAATTTGGAGTGTAATTCCAACACTTTGTATGCTGATGGATTCTAATGGGAAATGTAGACTGTATTTAGATACAAAAATCCTTGTTAGAACTGTTTTTGGAATTAGCTGAATGATAATATGGTACTTCCAGTACTTTTATTGTTTAATTTTATGGGAGCACATCGAAAATCATTCCATGCTATATTAAACTTTCTCCTGTAGTGAAAAGAGGATTATAAGACTTTACTTGATTGAACTAATCAAATCATTTGGTATCTGTTGTAGTGTTGTAATGTCTTTTGAATTTATTATTGTGTTTTTGTTTTTCACTATAGATAATCAACCAAAAGGAGCTTTGAAGAAACTAATTCATGCTGCTAAGGTTTGCATTATTACATAAATTTAAAAAATATAGAGGAAGGAATAGAACAATGCATTAAAACCATATTTCGTTGTACCTGTTCTTTTTTTTTTTTTTTTTTTTTGAAGATGTATTTGTGCATAGATGAACTGAGAAGTAGGCCAGAGGTTAAGCGGTAAGAGGATTCACCAGAGCCAGTGGGAAGCAGAACAGGCAGTTTTAATGAAAAAACTGCAAAAGAGAGCTTGGGCAAGGCAGGAGATATCTGCTGCACCTTCTGTAGGTTAGCTCACTGGCTGGGGATCGAATACAGACAACAGTGATAGCATGATAGCTTTGAGATTTAACCCCTAGACCACCAGGGTGCCCAGTACCTATTTTTAAAACCCACTGTATATTGGACCTCTTTGGTAGTGTGGGGTTAAATCTCAGTGCTTTCACTTCCATGTGCACATATGGTGTAGCAGACTCTCTTGATGCCCCAATTTTCTCCCCAGCAGTGTATTTCAGTACATCTGCCTGTCCTGCTTCCCCCTCTGTCTCTGGTGAATCCTCTCACCACTGAACTTATGGCCTAAATCTCAGCTCTTTGAAGCAGAAATAAATAAATCTTTTAAGAAATAGCTGAGCTACTGTATATTATCATAAAAATAATCAGAATTTTCAGAAATGATCTAAAATTTCATCATAAAAGAAAATTGCCTTTTTCTTTTATCTTTAGAAATTCATATTATTAATTTTTAGAATTCATTGTAATAATTTTAAGGTATGAATTCATTTCTTTGTATAAGGACTATATTAAAAATGCTTACTATATATTTTTTCATCCTCCTCTCTGACTATTCTTCTGGTTTTAGTATTTTTCTGTTCCTATTATAACATATCTTATTTTGAGAAGTAAATGCTAGATTCATTTTTTTCCTTATTCTTCTTTTCATTAATAATAGTAGTATCATGATCTTTATTGTTCTATTCAAGTGTTGGTAATATAGTTTCAAGGAGGCTTTAATCAAAATGTATATGTTGAAAGAAAATTGAAGGGTAATAGTCACTGTTGAATGACTTCACTGATCTCTTCATCCCTATAATGAGATTTATATTCATTGATGAAGTGGCTAACTTTCCAAGTTACATTGTTGGTTTGTGCATTTCAGATGATAATTTCGTCCAGAAGATAAAATCCCCAAAGTTTGGGATGGTGTATTGAGATTCTTTTATTTGATTAATGTTGCTTTTTTTCTTCCATTTATTGAAGTTAAATGCTTCTTTAAAAGCCTTAGAAGGAGAAAGAAACCAAATTTATACTCAGTTATCTGAAATAGATAAAACAAAGGAAGAGCTAACAGGTAGGTAATTACATACTTCAAAAGTTTTTTTTTTAATATAGCTCTATATAATAGAGATTAATTGAATCATTTTATAGGAAGATGAAAATCTAATTTGATTCATTTTTTAATTTTACTTTATTGGTTGTAAAAAAATTAGGCCTGAGCTTTCTTTTCTTGATAAAGCCATGTTAGTTTCTCATATAATTATTAATTTCATCTGAAATTAAAATAATGAAATTATTTTAAAAATATGTATAGCCATACTTTTGATTTTCAGTGTTGGTGTGTGATATGGTTACATGAAAGAACTAGCAAAGTAAAGTGCTAATTAAAAAAAAAATCTTTATTAATCACAAAATTTATACTTAGTAGTGGTGCTTCTATATGTTACACATCTTTTATTACACATGGTTTCCTCCTTTACTATATATGTATAGTATATTATTATATAGTGATGTTAAAGCTGTAGAACTGAAGACTTTTTTCTAAAATTTATTTTTACTTATTTATGCATACAAGGGCCAAGGTACAGGCCACAGGTTCAGGGGTAAGAGGACTCACCAGACATAAAGTGGGAAGTAGGAGAGGCAGATCTACTGAAATACACTGCTGAGAGGAGCAGCGGGTGAAACAGGAGAGGTCTGTTGTGCCATGTGGGTCAGCTCCCTGACCAGGAATCAAACTCAAGCTGCAGTGGCTGGTGATACTTATTAGTGCTGAGACTTTAAACCCTGTGGTACCAGGGAGGCTACTGAAGACTTTTTTCATTAAAAAGTATTTTAGTAATTAGATGTCAGTTGTGTTTGAAAGTTTTCAAAGATCATATATAAAACAAGTTTCACTATAAACCATTTTTATAAAAATAATAGTACATATTCAAAGGTTAACAATAATTATCTTAGAAAATAGGATTTTGGATGAGTTTCTGTTTTCTTTTTACTTCTGTATATTAAAAAATTTCTACAATAAGTTTATTTTATTTATAATAAAACACTATGAAAAGATCGAACCACTGAAGGTACAGATTAAAGAAAAAACATCACCATATTCACATACTGTTGGTAGTTGGGTTAGTTTTAGAGTTTGAAAATCATTAACTTAAAAGTGAAGTTTTGCTTTATGTAAGGTATAATACTAAAAGCTATGGGAGATTCACAGAAAGAAAAATAAACTTGCTTTCAAGGAAGTTGTATTTTAATATGTTAACATACTCTCAGTGAGGAACTGTATGCAGTAAGTTCTAACGTGGTAAAGGAGTTGCTCACTAATTACTTCATCACTAAATACATTTCCTCACATTTTTGTTTTTTATGATAATAACTTGGAGATCCTCTGTCTGCTTACAGCTGTCTTCCATATCTTTCTTGACCTGTTTTTTTTTAATGGGTCATGAAAGATAAATTTCTATAATTGATCTATTCACAACAGGAAGATTTCCTTTTAAATTAATTCCCCTCTGTTCTTGCCCTTTTTGGATACTCATTAATGTCCTTTCAAGTGATATATAAGATTCAAAACAAAATAGTTGTAGTGGAAATACAAGAGCGTAGTGGAGATGTAAGTAAATATTGGTTTGTAATTTTTTTTTTCCCAGTAGGGATGATCCAATTTTAATAGATTATTTCCAGCATTAATGTTTGTTAAGTAACAGTTACTGGCAATGAATGACTTAGAGCCGGAGTCAACAGACTATTTCTCTGATGTCAAAAATGACTCTGAAAACACAGATGTTCATAGTTTTGTGTACATTTAATTACTTAATGGTGACATAATTTATTAACCTGTCCTTTTGTGTTATAAATTAATGTTTTAGAATAATTACATACCATTATATGGAATTACTAAATTCTGATGCTTATTAGTGATTTTGAAACTGTCCTCTTTAAGGAGAGTGAGTTTTGTCTTTTTTTTTTTTTAAAGATTTATTTATTTGTGCATACAGAACTGGGGTACAGGCCAGAGGCTCAGGGTCGGCGAGAGGCTTCACCAGAGATAGAGTGGGGAACAGAACAGGCTGATGGACGAAGTATACTGCTGAGGGGAGCAGCGG